AGTCTTGAGCGACCGACTGGCCATGTACATACCTCGCCCGCATGCGGTGCATGGTTGCGTTTCGAGCAGAAGTTCCACTAACTTGGGAGCGACTACTTCCAAATGTTTTCGACCCGGGGTCCAAGTTTCGGGCCCCAAAATGAAGCCCCTTTCTGGGCCCCAAAACGAAGCCCGAAATGGGGTCTTCCCCTAAGAGTTTCTAGTCAGGCGGGCTCACTTTTGGGAGCCAGTTTCTGCAGAATTCTGAAGGGGAGACGTGCCTTTGAAGCAGTCAAAGTTTTGCCCAACGTGCTGCGACCAATGCCGGCATGATGCGAAGTGGATCGACCGCAGTGGAAATCGATAAAAAAACGCTCCATTGAGTAGCAAGCTCCGGGTGTCGGGCTTGTACTTCTTAAGCGCCGTTGGTTGCCACTGTTCCACCCCCTGACACTCTCCAGTCGCATCCCAAGATATATAAGAACCTCATTTAATCCAATGGAATCCAGCTGCAACTTGACTGAAGCGAATCCCAGCGGACAGTCGCACCATCATGATAAATTCCAATAGGTTTTCTTGAAGCAGTGGACGACGTCGGACGATGCTAACTTCTAGAATGCAATACTACCAAAATTCTGGGTTGCGCTTGGCGCCCTTAGGGTCTAGGCCAGGAACGCACGGATGTCCCAAAACCTCATATGTCCACACATCCTAAAGTAAGCTCCCCCTGTTGGGTTTAGGGTGGAGGGTCTGCTGCCCCGTATACGGTGCGACTATTTCACTGGGATAGACTCGACAATCCTAGACTCTAAACCCGCAGCTGGCGACACCTCGTACACCGAAGCCTCTGGGTCTGCTAGGGAGCCCAATACTCTGAGGAGGTTTAGGGCTTAGGGTTTTAGGGTTTAGGGCTGAGGGGGTTTAGTTTTTTTTGCTTTCCCCTCCCGCCCGTCTGGTTGATCAGGGTTTAGGGTTTGAGGGGGTTTAGGGTTTAGGGTCTAGGGAACAAGACCGACCCTGAACTGGAAGCCGCAATCCCTACAGGGCTCAAGCTTGAACTGAGCCCCAAATCCTACAACCCCCCCACATTTCAAACAATTCTCATATGCCCTCCCAAACCTTAGTATAAACCTTATGAACTTGTAAGCATCCTGGACCACCAAACACTATTTGAGGAGTCAAGTCTTGCATGAAGGCACAACATCCTATGCGGCCGGTCTCATCTCAAGACTCTCCACCCTACTCTGTGCAAAGCTTCGTCCCGGTCGTCCCCATTCTGGTCAGACTTCGGGGATACATGATCACCTTACTTCCAGTATGCCGGCAAAGGCGACAGTGTCTTGGAGGTACGTTGTAGCATCACATTGCTACCAGCGGGGAACCCAGTGCCTAGCATTCTAAATCGTCAGGCGCCTAAACGAGGAGCAGCATGCTTTCAAAGGGCTTTGCCAGCTCTCTTTCATAAGGGTGCTGTTTGGGTTTTAGGAAGATTTACGGGTTCAGGGGCTATTGTTAGGCGGGGTTTGTTTGGATTTGGGGCTTTTGCTCTGATTCTGAGTCCAGGGCCTGTATCGCGACAGAAGTTTGATGCGTACGAGTTCGGACAACATCGGGTTATGGGTGGCCAAGGCGCTGTGCTGCTTTTCCTGGATTCGGCCCATCTTTATGATCAGCTCAACATCGTCTTCGGCTTCACGTCCGAAGCGCTCTTCGAACTCTTGCCGCGGGGACAGGGCTGTTGGGCCTGCGTCCTCAAGGCAATGCTGAGGGAGTGCAGTAGCCCATGTGGGGCTAGTGGGGTGACTCTGTCTTAGCGTGCATGTACACAAGCAAGCAAGCGAGCAAGCATGAAACGCAAGCAAGCAACTCGTCCTGTTTCTTGGCCTCAGCTTGATCAACTCGATAGGATATCTGCTCCTGCAACAGACTCCGAGGGTCCTAGGCCACAGTAGGGACTGCAGAGCACTGCTGAACACTAACCCATCTGCATGTGAGAAACACAGAGATCCGAATTGAATTGAGGAAAGTTGGGACCCTCTGCACATGAGTTCCAGATATTCAGCGATTAGGACACCTGCTTGCGAACCACAAACGGTAAGCGATGATATAGCACAGAGGCCTAGAACATCTGAAGCAGCACTTGAACTAGCCGAAGTAAGGACTCCAACAAACACGCAGCACGAGCACACAATGATCAGCAGCATGCCGGCCACGACGCGTGCAGAATAAACCCTACCGACAGCTGACACCCGCAAAAATCATACATCAACTCAGCGAAAGGAGTTAAATGACACTGAGCCCCAACCTAGTGACGCAAACAAGGCATGTAAATAACAACCATAAGGCGCTCAGATACCCCAGAATCCAGGAATATGCCACCCAACAGGCTATGCTTGGGTGGCTAACTTGTTCCTGAAAACCCAAATCCCCTCAAACCACCAGTCCGACAACCACACTCCCGGCAGGCTTTAAGGTAGGGTCGATGGGCGTTATCTGTGTTAATTTAGGGTTGTAAGCTTTA